TCTTTCTTTTTTTTTTGAGACAAAGTCTTACTCTGTTGCCCAGACTGGAGTGCAGTAACACAATCTCGGCTCACGGCAACCTCTTCCTCCCAGGTTCAAGCAATTCTACTGCTTCAGCCTCCTGAGTAGCTGGGATTACAGGCTCATGCCACCATGCCTGGCTAATTTTTGTATTTTTAGTAAAGATGGGGTTTCACCATGTTGGTCAGGCTGGTCTTGAACTCCTGACCTTGTGATTCACCTGTCTCCGCTTCCCAGTGTACTGGGATTACAGGCATAAGCCACCATTATTTTTGTATTTTTAGTAGAGATGGGGTTTCACTATGTTGGCCAAGCTGGTCTCAAGCTCCTGACCTTGTGATTTGCCCTCTTCAGTCTTCCAAAGTACTGGGATTACAGGCATGAGCCATCACCTGTGGCCATTTTTTTTTTTTCTTTTTTTTTTTTTTGTATTTTTAGTAGAGATGGAGTTTCATCATGTTGGCCAGTCTGGTCTCGAATTCCTGACCTGAAATGATCCGCTCACTTAGGCTTCAAAGTTTTGGGATTACCGGCATGAGCCACTGTACCTGGTCCACCAAATGGTTTAGTAGCCATGATAATCTTTACCTGAATTAGTTATTACTATGTTTCAAAATGGTGATTTTCCAATACTGTCATTCATTCATTCATATTATTCCTATGACATTCTATTAACAAGAGCCCAGGCCATGCATGGTGGCTCACTCCTGTAATCCCAGCACTATGGGCAACTGAGGGCAGGGGATCATGTGAGGTCAGGAGATCATCTGAGGTCAGGAGTTCGAGCCAGGCTGGCCAACATGGTAAAACCCCCTCTTTATTGAAAATGCAAAAAATTAGCCAGGTGTGGTGACCTGCACTATAGTCCCAGCTAGTTGGGAGGCTGAGGCAGAAGAATGGCTTGAACCCGGGAGGGGGAGGTTGCAGTGAGCCAAGATTATACCACTGAACTCCTGCCTGGGTGATAGAGTAAGATTTCTCAACAACAGAAAGGAAGAGCCCTGCCCGTTTTTTATTATCACTATAAATTTACAGATTTTTTTTCACATATGTTATAATTTATTACTATCACTTTTTTCATGCTGAAATTATGACCAGTTTGGCCAATTACAGCTTCTTCAAGTTGTTCCCTAAGTCCTTATGACACAACCACAGTATTTGAGCACTTCATGGCTTTCTGGAGCAATAATATATTTCAGACTCACCTACTATTTTCCCTGCCTAAGAACTTGGAGTCAGCAATTTAGTTAAAAATTACAATGTCCAAAAAAAAAAAAA